CCACACAGATCGTGCATCGTTGTTCTGTATCTTAAATTTCAAGAATCCCGAAGGCCAAATAGTCAGGTGGATAGAGAGTAAAAATGTGAAATAAATATCTGTCATAGGAAAGGATGGCCCTTCGGAAACACCGACTCCTTTTCTAGAAGACATTGTCCAGAAATTTTACGATATTCTACCAGAGTCGAGAAGCGAAATACGAGTTGGTTAACCCGGTCGCACGTCAAGACAGCCAGTTGGAATAATGTTAATTTAATTGAGTCTTCAAACAGGAAACCTACCTGGCAGAACATTTCGATCTATAGTCCTACGATAAAACAATATTGGGCTCTCTGGGAACTCACTTCCTATTCGAAACGGTTTCTTGTACAGGAAGTTCGAATCGGATGATGGAAAGGCATTCCAATGGCAGCTAATACTTACAAGATCCCGGATGCATAGCAGTTCAGCTGAAGGCCATTTTGGAATACTGAAGACTTTGTAAATATTTCTAGAGCCCTTCTAATGGAATAATGAAAGGGTTGAAGTGCAAAATTGGTGCCAATTTTTCCAATGTCTGTGCGGGTCGAAATGACGGAAGAAACTCAGTTGAGGAAGCTGCAACGTCAGAATGTAGGAGCTCTTTTGAACGCTTTGCCTTTGACATTTTGACATCCTGAGGCCTCTACCACGAACTGCTGATGGCAGCAAATACATCCTGATGTCATTGATTATTCACAAAGTGGCCTGAAGCGTATCCTATCTCTGATCAAGAGGATATCACGGTAACACAGGTAATGTTAACAGCACTGGATTTACAGATCTAGGGTGCATTTTCTACAAGTATTGCATACCGATCAAGAAAGGAATTTGATCTCGGCTGTAATTAAAGAACTCTCTGAACTACTCTGCATACTGAAAATCCAAATGATACCTTTGTACCCACAGTCAGACGGCATGTTAGAGCGGTTTAATCGGATCCTTTTTAAAAACGCTCTCGTTGATAATTTCCAGAAACGAACTTTAATGGGGCCAGAAGTTACCTCTGTTCTTACTGGACTATCGTAGTGCGTTCCACGAGATTACTGTCTGTTTTCCATTCCAGATGCTCTTTGGTCAGGACCTTCGCATGCATTGTGATCCCATGTTTGGCCACCCTCCGGTTGCGCCTTCGTCGCTTGAGGAGTACATTCAGGATCTCAAATCACGGTTTGAAGTTATCAGGACTACTATTTCTTTCAATTGGTTTGGCAAGCATGCTGGAGTCCTGAGTAAGAACTGGGAGTTTACTAAAAACTATGCTCCTGAAAGTATAGAAGATACAATACAAGTGGGAAGGATTTAACTACCCTTTAATCGTCACAATTTACAGCTGTTCCCGCACTTCGGGGTACAAAATACAGTACTTATGGACTGAAATGTAAAAATAAGAACTACAAACTAACTAAATTAAGTAAGAACTAAACTCAAATGCTTTACAAAGACTAGTAACGCGAGAATTGGCCTTTTAATCTTTACGTATGTAGTAAATTACGTACGTATGCTGGAAAACTACAATACGTATCAAGAGATACATACGTATCAACTTCAGAATCAAGATAACTAAATTTTGGCCTTAAAAGGCGGACAGCAACTGACTGAAAAGCGTTCGTGAGATAAGGTAGTGAGAAGTCTCGCTCTCTCTCTTGCTTAGCTAAAGCCACAACTTAACAGTTTGCAAGCTCAATTTGCATAACTAAAACTAATCACGTTTATTCTGGCCGGAAGTGGAAAAAAAGAGAGGACTGTAAATTTTTAAAATAAAATAAACGTTAGTAAATCTTAAAATACTTACATAGTGATGCACAATTTTGCATGTGAGAGTGTCAGCTTGGTGACGGACAAGGTGAAGACCCGATATGACACGAAAGCTACAAGACGTCGATTCAACGAATGTGACAAGGTGCAGTTCTGAAATCTTGTTCGATGGAAAGGAATTTATCCTAAACTACAATCACCATAGACCTAGAGAGATCCTTACACAGTCCTAAACAAGCTGAACGACGTCGTAGTTCGGATTCGTAAGTCATCGAATTTTAAGCCTGAAATAGTTCATTACTACAGGCTAGTGCCTTACGATGGCCGTAGTGCGTAATCCGCATAGCGTTTATCATGTAAACAGTATACTGAGACCATGTTCCTGAGAGTATATAAATTTGCAAATTCATGCATTTAATTGTTGATTTAGTATTTGATTTATTCTATATTATTTATTGAAATTATTGTTTTTGTACTGCATTGATTAGCCTTAGTTGTAAGCATGGCTTCTTGTCCAGGGACTGTACTGTCCGGGATGTGCAATCCTTAGGAAAGGGGCAATAATAGGAATTTTGTATTCATGTAAATAATTTTAGTGAAACTATACGGGAAATTGTATGATGGAACATAAAGTTTTGTATAATGCAACTTAAAATGCTTGTAAAAGTGAAGTTCTGCCTGAAAAATAAGGTTACAGAGGCAAGTGTGTTTAAGATTAAGGTAAATAGCTATTTCCCTAATTAGTGAGATATCGCCAAGCTGACGATAGTTTTGGCGACTATTTTTTTTAGCGGTATTTGGCGGCATTTGGATTCAGTCCCTGTATAACTTTAATTGGCCTTGTAGTTAAATAACGGTAATTGATCCCTGTCTAAAATTGTAATCATATCCGACCCTTATATGTAGTAACTTTAACGGTATATGCTTTGCAGGAATTTTGAGAAATAGAAAATATTAGAGATTTCTCGTCAGTCGGGAAAAAATTATATGAGCCCGGAGTGAGCATCAGTGAGTCAGTTTCAGAGTTAGATCTGATTGCGAATTTCTTCTTTAGACGCGCTTTGCATAGCATTCTGATCAACGTCCTTTGTAATTCAAAGTGGTAACCACTGACTGTGTTCTTTCATACTGAGAATAGCTGTACGAGTACTTTTGTGGAAAGTTCTAGATCTGTAAAGTATTCCTTTTGTGAAAATAAATTTTATCAATCCATCATCGGTTTCTGTATGCAATCAATCGATTTCGAACCCGTACGCGAGCAACAATATATTGCAGAAAATAAATAAACGAAACACATGAAAAAAATGCGTATCCAACAAAAGTTCTGCTTTCTTTAACTTTGAAATTTTTGTTTCAAGTTATTTTTAGATCGAAATTATGTTACATCAAAGATACATTTCTATATATTTCTACAGAGATGCTTAACGTTCTTCATAGCACTAATTTTGACACCATTATAAAACGATCTATTTTATTATTAAATGGCTCCGTTTGAGAAACATTTCTGTGTAGTGTTCGATGCACCTATCTACGACGTCTTTGATTAGGTAGCTATTGAATATACTTTAAAAAATAAATTCTATGTTAAGAGAAAAAATCCTTTTAAATCTTATTATCTGTGAGGTATTAAATCGCTTCACTCGAGCGTATAAGGCTTTGTGCTGTACTATAATTTTTCCATATATTTCTGTTGACAGTGTTTGAACCCGACTTCAGAGACCGTCAGCAAGAAATAAGGTACCTTGCTATTTTCGATTAAAAAAAAATTAACAAGAACTATTACCATACTATTGTATCTTTATTGTTTTTTAAAAATAATTATACGTATGAAGCATAAAGATCAAAACTGCCTGATTTATTCTAAATAAAATCTCAGTGAAGGCCTTGCACAAAGGCACTATAATCTGGACTTGATGCTGATAGTCATATTTGTACATATAGTGATATTATAAGCTTTCATAAAACAACTGTTTATTTTATCAAATACATTGGTATAATTAATGACAGTAACATAACGAGATGTTTTAACAAGTTAATTAAAATATTTAGTTTTTGTTTTAAGTAGGAAACAACCAACCTTCTCTAAATTTCGAGTTTAACACTGGTGTTTAAAATTTGAACTTCCTTTAATAGACCTACAGACAAGAAAACAAAATATTATTTTGAACTATTATTTAGATATCTGCTACATACAATGAGCAGGATTTCTCAGACAAAAATTGACGGCTGTTAAATTGATTAATAGCAAAATTATTAAAACCTAAGTATGTGTATAAATTTGAATCACAACTTCATATTTGTCGAATAAGTATTAGTAATTTGAATAACTGATCACGCTAATCACGAAAAGAAAAAGAAATAATAACATTAATGTTTGACGAGTTTTAAACTGCAATATTAATTGCTCAGTGTACCACAAAGTCTAGTGTAAACCATGATGTACTAAGCATTCTATTGCACGTTCCTATCATTGTATTTAAAAAAATTCCTTCCATTAATTGATCAGCAGTATATGATATTATTAGCTGTAGGGAGAAATTAACATTTACGAAGTTATTCTTATTTAAGTTCTTCGTTAGCAGTATTTACCCCCTTAACATAATATTTCTCCATTGCTAGAGTTATCTTACTCTTTCCCTTGCTAAATAACAAAAACCTAAAAATTTTCATGTTTGATAAATGTAAGCTAGTGGCCTTTCATAATTATGTAAATAATAGCAACCACTGTTACAGTTCTGAACAAGGACAGGTATAGAGTTTTCAAAACAGACCGCTATTTTTTAAAGCCGGTGAAAGTTAATAAAATGATAGATAATACTCTAATTAAAAGATTAAGAAAAAATATTGCAATTATAAAAGACAGTTACAGAAAGCTTAAACGGGAACGTCCAGGCTTTAAGACGAAATCAAATGCTTTGTTTTAACTTGTATATATAATGTGAAATTAGAAGAAATCAAATGCATTGATGCAAGTTATATATATATATATTATATGTAACCCGACAGAAGAAATCAATTGTTTCTCTGCAACTTATATCCATAGCATAATATCCAAGTCCTCTGATTGATGCTTCACAGCATAATTTCAACAGAATGAATATAAAAGTCTATGGGATGGCAAAATATGTTTGTTATTTTCGTGGTCTTGCAGAAATGCATCCCAAGTAACTAAGGAAAAACGCTGCTCAATGAAAAAAATTCAAAACTCTTATCCAATGAGATTCCAGAAAGCAGCCACCTGTGAAAGAGTGAAAAAACGAGCTTGGTTTGAGCTGGTTTAAAAGGGGCCACGTACGTCACTAGGACACTCACTCCTTACTCGGATCCAGGATGTTGTGGATCGGACTACTCCTTGCCTTCTTCGTCTCGAACGGTAAGTTTGAGTTTTTTCCTCCTCAAGATTAATGAAGACAAAAGTAAGGGGTAATTCATTCGAGATAAGCATTTAGAAAGAAGTTCCTTTCAAAAATAAATAAAGGAATAAACATTAAAACATTTAGAATTAGTTTCTGGATCATTCCAGAACACTTTTTCCGATGACTGTAGTCTCACATTGTGGTCTTTTCCTTTTCTGTGGGTACAGTGCATAAATAACAATAATATTTTACAATTTTTTAAACGCATCGGCTAGTCATCCAGATGCCTATTAAGTGATTTTTTAAAATCTGAATTTAGCAACTTTAATCTGAACTTAGCCTGAAGTTTTTTAGCAAGTGATTATACAATCTGTGTGTTATTGTACGAATTTTTTTTTAATTTAAATAATTTGAATATATTATTAATTGTTTGTTAACAATAGAAATAAATAGAGATATCGGAAATTTATTGTGAGAAAAAATATAATATAAAATAATTCTCATTCTAGGAATAAAGTGATTACAGTAATAAACTGAGTAATAAATTGTTATTGATAATATTTTCGAAATTGTTGGATATTATTGAAAACATCTGAAATGCCACGATACTGGAATAAAATTACATGTTAGAAAATGTTTTGGCTTCAGTAAATGATATTTTAAAATTTAATCTTACATTGATTATGCCAGCTTCAGAACTTTTAAATACGTAGTGCCAGCTGATGTTAGTACCTTATAAAATTGCTTTTGAAGGATATGTTGTGCTTTGAGAATGTAAAGTAGTATTGTTGGGAAATTATAGCTGATTACAGTAATCATTCCTCAGTTAGAGGTTAGGGATTTATACATGCTTTTACAAACATATAATTAGGCAAAATAATGGTAATATAAATTACTAATGGTTATTATAATTTTGGACTAGAGAAATTTTATGCTTATGTTATTATATAGATAAAATTACCATAAATAGGTTGGGACGTAAATGAAATTGATTTCCTTAAACTAGTGTTTAGAAAATTAATTTCAGCTCTGAAATTTAGCAATAACAGATTAAGACAATTATCTTCATAGTATGAAACACTCCTACGGGTAGTAACAAATATAATGCAAGGAAAGTGCATTTTTGTTTCATACTTAGCTTCCCTTTCACAAACTAAAATCTGCATTTGATTCTTTTAATTCAAAAGTTACATTTAAACTGACAAAATACCCATGATAGATTGCATATATTTAAAATGTTAATTAGCGCAAATTGATAGTTGTAATTTTGGGTGCGCAAAATCGAGTTCGCAGTGCTGATAATTCCTCAACAAAAGTAACAGTGGTTATCATTGAGCCATAATGAATTTTCCTACGGAACTCGAATCTGATACGAATGAAGGTCGATAACTGCTCCAGAAAACCTGTCTCAGAAAACAGAAGCATGCGGAGAACTTGGAGTTGTTCCGCTCGGTGATTCGTAGGGCCCACAGTATACCGGCTTCAATTGAAAAGGAACAGGAAAGCTGAAAGGAATATTCCTTTTAAAGAATTTCTTCTAAATTGTTTTACTAGGTGCTCTCAAATTTAGATAACGTTTTCTTTGGGCGTTTCCTCATTTTTCGTAATCTTCTTTTTCATGAAGTGCTTCGCATCTGGTTATAATACATTTTTTTTCGGAGTTAAAGAAGACTTACATTTTTATTTTAGAAGATTCCGATGTTAGTTTTGTAATATGATGTAGTACTTAATTTTGTTAGGAGTCTGAATGTTCTTTTATTAAATATAAAATTTTGTTCTTTTATTAAATACACAATTTTATTAAAAATAAGCAATAGTTTATTTTTCCAAATATACTCATTTTCTAAAACTGCAAATTGCATTGCTTTAAATTATAGAAATTCAGATTACCTCCTCTATACTGCTAGTTTCTTTTTCCTTTTTTCCTGTAAATATTCAGTGAAAATTCTTTGAAAAACAGATACGTGTTCAAATTCGGTGAAATTTTATTTTAATTTCACAGAAGATTTAAATATAAGAATAATAATCACAAAAATTAAATAAAATTAAGATATTTGATGAGACGTGCTTTTTTGAATTGCTTATGATTTAACTTTTCTCTCATAAATTTAGCTGTTGGAAAGAAAGAGGCTTTTCCAATGAAGTTAAATTTTAAAATCGTGATTTGGTATACTCAACTGTAACATAATTGTTGTATACTCAACTATAACAGAATTATGGTATACTCAACTACAACAGAATTATAGTATACTCAACTATAACAGAATGAAGCTACTTAACATGTTGGAAGTTAAGTGTTAGAAAGACTAAATAGTATCCTTGTTCATGATTAGGTGAAACGAGTGTTATTCTTGTTGATAACTACTGGAAATGATATATAATACAACCAGAGAAATCGTATTATATACAAGTCAAATGATGATTATTTACTGATATGTAGAGTCTCACGCGTTTTGGTAACATACACTAAGTCAAAACTCTAAGTAGATCTAAGCGAATTACCGCTAATGTACAGAAAGCAAACAGAAACGTATGAAGGGTGTAAAAGACCCTTTTATTTAAGAACTCAAATAGCTGAATAGAAGGCACTCTTTGTGCTTACAAACCAGGCAGTATTTATGTATGGCAGTATTAATTTTAAATTAAATTAAATCTAAATCTTATTTAGCCAGAGGCTACGCAGAACGATTTAATGCACAAGTTGGCTGTAACCTAAACTTGCGTGACAGCTCTGTTTGGGAAGATTTAAAGCAACGCCGTAGACAGGAATGCTATCGTAGAATATCAATTAGCAACGTGGCCTTCAACAGGCGCAACACAATCTGACTAAAGAAATATCAAACCTTCTCTTAAATAAGCTTGAGCTAAAATTTGCATTCTGGGAGGGAAACGGAAAAGGAAAACAGTTTCGGAACATAAAATAACTAGTTAATTAAAATAACGGATAGACAGGATAGAAAATTATTACGAATTGTTGAGACATAATAAAAAATTGCGAAAAGTGAACTAGATTTCTATGGAATGTTTGGAGAACTTTAATACAATTTTTTCACCTTACTTTAATTGAAATTTTGTTGATATAGAATCTAGGAGCACAAATTGCGCAAAACAAGAGAGATCCATCTTGAAATTTCTAAATATCTAAAATTCTTGGTGTTCAAAAACTAGTAATGACGTAACTACATGAAAAGCGCCAATACTATGAAATTAAATCTACATTAATCTATCTCTAAGAGATATGATTATAATAAATTTAATTAGCATGTATTATTAAGTTTATAATTTTTAAATTAGATTTATAAACAGCAGCAACAAACAGGAATTTTCTAGCCTTCAGATTTATTTCTGAATACATTTCTCATGAGCTCACAGATATTTTATCTAGGTCTTTTTAATCGTAGTTTTAGGGAAGATTTGAGTTTTATTAAGTATGTTCTAAAATTCGAAGTTTATGAAACCTTTTTCTTTTGATTTAAAAAAAAATAAAATAGAGAGTAATATCACAATATTTATGCCTTCAGAACATGTCAGTTTAAAATACACAATATCATCTGCAATACTGAATCACCAGGTTATACCGGTAAGGAATTTCAGGATATAAAATAAGTATATTAATCAATTTTTGTAAATGAATAAGCGTTCATTAAAGACCAATTTCGGCAATGAGAAGAAACTTCAACATATTAAAATTTAAGAGCTGTAAAATAGAATGTAGAAGGCTTAAAACAATAACTAAATCAGCAATCTGCATAACATGATAGTCGCAGGCTTCAGTTTTTCACTTTAACAGCACCACAGAAATACTAAGAAATCGTAAATAATAGAACTGAATGACCCGCTGCAGTCCGCAGACTTATCATGGCCTCAATAACTCTCAAAAGGGAATTTATATATCAGAAGGGTGCATAATAGATTGTAGTTGCGGAGAATGTCTTTATTACCTCTTAAACAATAAATATTGGAATGCTTTAAAAAACCAGAGCGAAAGAAATGCTATGTTAATGCCAAGTAAAGAAATGATAAAAAAGCTAAGTTACTTAAGCCATTCATTCGACTCTTCTTTCCTACGCGATCAATACATTTCTGTGACTAATTTTTTACCTGTTAACTAGATTGAATTTTCGGAGAAATGAATGCAGAGTTTGAAATAAAATCGGGCATAAATATTGGAATATTTATGCCCGATTGCTGTAGGAATCATCCTTTGGAAAACAGAATTTCGCGCAAGTCTTTTTCTAAATTGCCCAATTGTAAAGTGAGAAAGAGAAGGAAAATGCAACTGTTTATTACATTCCCATTGAAAATATTTTAACATTTCTTATCCGAACGAGGTGTGATACCATATCAAAAGCTCACGAAGGTTTTTTCGATGTTTCCTGTCTGAAAGTTCATAGGTGTTGCGAATTTATTATTAATTTAACAGTAATATTTTCACTCTTTTAATCTTGGAAAATAAAAGGCACTGCAAGCTATCTGATATTCACTAACTCGAATTAAATTATTAGTCATCAATCCATAGAGCATTTCAGAAGAATAAACTTCCACAAATAGTTAATTAAAAAGACAATTAAAAAAAACAAGTTAATAGTATATAATTTTTAAGCTTAAGCATAAACTGTAATGATAAAAATATTAATATCGACTATAATTAAACTTTTGGATAAGTAAATTATATCATTAATAATATTATTCTAGCTTAAAAGGAAAAAAACAAAGACTATGTTTTTAAAACTATAAGTGCAGTAAAATTTCCAAATAAATTGTATAAATTTTATTATATTTCAAATAATTTTATAATTTAATGAGAAATTAAATAACTGGTACTTTATTTTTAAAGCATGGTAACTGGTTCCTTTTCCAGGAGTTAAGGTATACATAAAAAAAAAAAAAAAAAAAATAAAAAAAAACTATGCATGCGTAATATTACGAATACAGAACTTAACGCATTTTTTATGACCTCTACAAAATTACGAATATTCAACAAGGATACTTCTTTTTTCTTGAGAAAGAGGCAAGG